TGACTGGGAGGTTATATTGAATGGGGAAAGACCTTCAAAGAAAATATAAAACTATTCACCGTTGACTGGGTAAATATATTGCACTACATGATCCAAGAACTACCCTCTAACGGTACCTAACGCGTACAGTGCCTTCATCGAAAAAAAACAACTGAAAGTTGTCACTCCCGTTTGTAATCGATCGTTCTATCCTAAACCGAATGAGGCCAAGTTTCATCGGCGTCTACCTTGACAGCTCTTTTTATACAGCTCCACTAACTTGAATGTCTATGCCAGAAAAGCCTGCAAGCTTAGGTAAACGGCACACTCATACTTAACTATACACATACAGACTGTTCCAAAACAAGCAATGGTAGGCCAAGCACAAACATTAGACCCAGCGAAAGCTAATCTAGGCTTCCGTAGGTCTTTTCAATACACCATTTTGCCCAGAACGCAGCCACCGGCGTTAAATCGCAGCACCATCGGCTCTGCACGATCAGCACAGAACACGATTTCATCGATGATTGGGTCGATTTTAGAAGGCATCTTCATGCTCCTCGGCGCTGAAATACAGGAGTACGTTAGGTAACCATATTTTAGGTATTATCCAGTGCATGCCTTGGAGCAGAAATCACCAATACTAAAAATAGAGCAGATAAATTTAAATGTTAACTGTTTCGGCGCTTGCCTGTACAAAGGAAAGGCAACAACACAATGCAAATGTGTTGCTTCATTTTTTGGAGCCATAACAAAATTTACTCGCAACTGGATCCCGGACCGTCACACTTTCGAGAGGCTGATGGTTGCCTGATCCAGTTTCAAGCAACATGAAGTGGTTGACGCAATTATTTAGAAGTGCTTGGGTTATTTGCATAGAGGCTGTGTGATTAAGCGTGACGACACAATGTAGACACCTCGCAGTTCAGTTAGCATCAAGCATGAACTTTGCTACGCAAAAAAACCTACTCCGAGGAAGTGAAATCTTGACCGAGATATCGACGATACGACGTCGCAGCAGCATGGGACCTACACATTTTGACTGAGGAGACAGTTGCTTTGATAAAGGTGTAGGTCGATGTATAAATATATTTGCATATATATATATATATATATATATATATATATATATATATATATGGATAAACATATTGAGCCCCTCCAACCAAATACCAAGCTGCACCTCGACCAGGCGATCCCAGCGGTCAGTGACCCTTGTTTTGGAGAGCGGTCACCACTTCAGCACGCTGGGTCCTAGGCCGAGTGAGTTGAGCCGTCGAAACTGAGCGTAACGACGGCGACGGGTTGGTTTGGACAGCCTTCTGTTCCATGAAAGGTCTTCTGGTGCATGGAAGGCCTCCTAATTCAGAACAAGATGTTTTCGATTCACAAAGGTGCGTCCGAATGTACCCGAGGGGTCTCTTTATCCTAAACAGAGACACCCTGATCCTGAACCACGGCCATTTGATGCATAAAAGGGGATCCTCTTCCAGAAATGGGGCCCCATGGATATAGAGGTTGTCCCCTATCCCAGAAAAGGGGCTTTCTTGTTTGCAACGGGTGCCTCTTATCACATCGTTGGGACCCCTTACTTCGAAAATGGTTACCCTTTTCCCAAAACTGGCTTCATGATCCAGAAATCGGACATTTTGATGCAGGAAGGTGTTTTCTGAATCCGATGTTTTACTCTCTAGTTACTCTTTGCTCTTTATTACGCTCTAGTAAAAAACATGAATTCACCAATTACGAAACAAAGACTCTCGCTGAGTAAAATTTTGCCGCATTTTGAAATAACTCACTGTCTCAAATTACATCACTTTCACCTGTGTCCAACTAGTTTTGTACACTTAAAATTTGGTGCCATGCTGATTTAAATAATAAGGGTGGCGTAAAAAGGGTGAAAAAATTAAAAAATCACTTTGTCTGGGACACAATATTGTTCAAGAAGTTGACAAAGTACGAAAAATTGGCCATGAACCAAAGCTTTGTTTAGCAATGATTGGTTTTCTCATTTTTTTCATTTTCATTTTTTGCTAAGAAGCTCACGGCTCATCTCTCATGGACCAAGATGGAGAATATGAAAGATTATTAGAATCTAGGCCAGTCTGATATTTTGAAACACAATCGGTTGGTTTTATGAAAACCTTGGAGACTCTCGTTTTACGAAGAGTTTTTGATGCATTCCGCGAGGTTAACGCATGGTAACCGGGCACACGGAACACAATGGAACAAATGTCGACTTTGAAGACGAAATTTTAGCAACAGCAAAAGACCACGCGGATCTCAGGATATAATAATTGTTACACAACCGTAACATTCCCCCAAGCCTGAACACAGTAACGTCATGTTAGGACCTTGATGTCCTTACGCTTAGCTTGTGTGCAACTTAACACGCTTTTTGAGCAGCGTCATTTGGGTTTTACGTTTAGAAAAAGTTGCCTGGAAGTTGCAGCAAACAACATCTACCGACAAACTACTTTCCACGCTTCTGCCCGGCGCGTGTCATCGAGGCTTTCCGTTTGGCCGCCTGTGTTTCGGGTAGCCCTTAGCAAAGTACCGCGTATTGGGAGATAGGGCAGACAGCCTGAATAATGGGAACGTTCGTGATGTTCGTGCAATGTACTTGAAGTACGACACTCGTGGAAAAGAATTGCCAAACATCGATAAATCCCTGTACCTTAGAATCAGATACCTTATACTTACAAGCTGCCACATACTGCAGTCTATTTTTGCTGCGTCCCTATTCAGGTGTTATCTCGTGGAAAATCTGTCAATAATTTCAGACTGACTCAACGTGAACGATAGCTGGATGCAAAATGAGCCTAAAGTTATTGGTGATGTTTCATGTACCTAGTGTACCAGCATTTCAGGAAAGTTGTCTGTATGTTGCGGTTCAGTATTCCTTAATGCTTAGATTCACTGGGGAGAGGCTCAGACGGTCCCTGGGGCGGGGGCTTAAGCCAGCATTAGAAGGAGGGGGGGGGGGGGGCTCTTGTTCTTTCCTTCCTCCGAAAGCATATATACTGACACTCATGTTCGTGAGACAAAATATAGCCATACGATTCGTCTCGACTGACCGCGCGGGGCGAGCAGACTGAAACAATTTTCTGTCCTTCTCCGATCCATGCCACCCGATTTTCACATCCATTTTTGAGTAAGGATGTTTGATCTGCTAAAGGATGCTCAGCTTATACCCTCCCCATTATTTTGTGAAACTACACCCCTGTTCCAACGGTCCTCACGTTTCAACACCACGGTTTTTGTGATAAGACTTCCCACAATTACGATGCTAAGAGTCACCAGTTGGCATGCTAACTGAACCCTACCCCGCTCCCACGCCCGAGAGTCTGAAACGTCCCCTGCCCCCCCCCCCCCCCCCCCCCCGTCGCCCGAGAGTCTGATCACGGTTCGAGCGCGTGACTTTGGGAGGCTGCTGCCACTTGAACAGCGCTCCCATTTGTTGTTTCTGTTGTCCTTTTTGTCTCTGGTTGTCTCTGGATGGCCCTGTGCCATCCAGATAGACACGCGCAGAGAACCAGGGTCATTCTAGCGAGACTTTAAAGCCCGGTGCGAGACCTGTCTTTAATGAAGCCGGGGCACTAGAACCATGTCACCTGGCTAGAGCCGCATCACCTGACACCGGCGTCTCCAGGCCAGGTCACGTCAGCGGCCGGCGGCGGTCGGGGTCGGCCCAGACCCGCCAGCCAGAGCGCGCTCATCAGGCGGCACCACGTCCCGTCATAAACTGAAGCCAGCGTGCCAGGGCTGCTTTTGGAAAGGCCCCGCCGCCTGAAAGCCCGGCTGCCCGATGAGCTGAGCAGAAGCCCGCGGCGGCGCCGCCGGCGCAGATGACGCGGAAGCCCCCCGGCTCCGCACGCGGCGTCCAGTGCGCAACGACTGCTCCAGGAAATGGCGACCGGGGGGCGTTGATCGTCAATTTGTGGGGTTTCACGAGCTCTCTGCTCGTTGCGTAAGTAAGCCCGTGGTCTCAGGTCCACGTCGCGGGGTTTGGTTTCGGTGCCTTTGGAATGATATTTTCGTCGCATGAAAGCAGCGCAGAAATAGGCTTATGCGGCTTCTTACTTATGGAAATGCCCCCCCCATGTTGCAACGTTAACACGTTGCTAAAACTCGTTGGATTTCTTTCGCACGGTATTTTGCTGATATGAAAGGAACCTCCATACGATACGTTCGGCAGCAAAGCGGGGTTGATGGAGCGTAACCGAAAGGTAAAGAGAAGAGGGAGGCGTTGGGCGGCGTAATGTGCTGTGACGGGCGCGCTAGGGTGTGGTGTAAAATCATGCGTTAATAACAGCGCTAGGAGAGGAGGTTCTCATCCAACAAAACTAATGTGAAAGCAAGAGTGAAGGTTAAAAAACGATCGAGATGTGTAACATATTGCTGGACAGTCTCCGACAGTCTGGGGCATACTAACTAGTGTGGTTATTGCTTATGCCCAGTGCTATGATGAACCTTTCTTAACACTTAATTATTACCTGAACTTAAGTTGCAGTGCCTTGTACGTAAGATTTACACTTGAATGCATCAATTGGATGACGATCTAACGGGCACACCGATGAGCTGTGACAAAACTGGTCCTGTTGGTTCACTGCGCGGATTGTCACCAAATAAAACGGATGCTAAAAGAATGTGTGAAATAAATATTATTAAAAATAGATGTGTTTTCTCTTCATAGGAAACGGAGCTTCAGGCATCTGGTCGAAGCACATGATACATATGCGTATGCATAAATGAAAACGCCGGCCAGTCCAAGAGAGCTCCCACTCTACCATCTGCAACATTCCTCTCATGCAAGGCGCAAGCGACAACACTCACACACAAACAAAGATGCAGCGAGCACTTAAAATCGATTCCAAACCCCAGCACCCGCAAACACAGCAGCTGATCTATCGCCAAGCAGAGCTGGGCATTGGCAGCTCCTGCCCGAACAGCGGCCGGTCGCCTTCGCCACCAGCGTCGACGGTCCAGTGGCTGAGCGGCAGGGGCAAGGCCGCGCCGCTTCACACCTCGCCCTCTGCGCCGGGTGGCTGGTGCTCCAGCACCGGCGACGGCAGCTTCAGCACGGCCGACTCGCTGAGCGTGCGCCTTCCGAGCAGCATGAACGGGTTGAAGACGAGGCCGCCGGCCGGCTGGCCGCGCGCTGCGCCGCACGGCAGCGCCAGGTCGGGCGTCGAGGCGCCAGCCTTCCATGCGGCGCTGCGGCGATCGTGGCGCGTCAGCGGGCGGAGCGCGGCAGACGCGACGCGCCCGCTCGGCGCGCCAGCCGACCGAGCAGACCCGGCATGCGGTTTCGAGCAGCAGTGCAGGCGGCCCTGCTCGCCACCAAAGGACTCCTAGCGAGGCGTGCGTTCAAAATGTTTCGCACGCGTGAAAAACGTGAGGCAAAGCAGAAAAACTGTCACGAGAGTTTGAAATACGTCAAAACGCGCAACAATTATCCGTCTCGCGATCAGACATCGAACAGAAGGCGCGCATGCGGATCTACTGCTGTTGCTGGACAACGCCATTGGACACATGTGGAAACGACAATGATAGGCAAAGGAATTCGTCGAAGAAGTCACATATTTGATCAGTTTTTCCACATGTTGAGTTGCAGAGTCATTCATGATATTAGTGTATAAATTTGTGGAATTAGGTCTGCGCGATGTTTGTTACTGGAGATGGAAAATAAACAAAGCTCAGGAATACTGATATCAAGAAGGAGAGCCCAATGCGCAGAGGTTACTGAAGTTTTTTGTCGGAATATGTAAGCCGTTAAGAACAGAACGCGTAGTCACATCGAACACAGTCCACACACTTTATTCTGCTGGGGAAAGGACCACTTTATTCGGTGTAAGGGCCCTATTCCGTCCCAGAAAAGCGTGTTGGATCACTAAGGCATATTTTTTAGGCATGTGGGTTCTTTCATAATTGAACCAACGGGAGGATGCCATGTATCTTCGACTTTGTTTTAGAAAAGATCATGCACCAAGCAAGCAAGTAAATCATTCAACAGCGTATGAAACCACCTGCAGCCAATTTTTTTTCAAAAAAGAGATCCGTAGATTTTCGGCGTTGATCGTACATGTTTGGGGATAATCGCATAACGCAGCTTTGCAAAGTAAAAATATGTGATTTATAACTACAGTCTTCGACACTCAAAATATGCACAGCAACTGTAAAATCTACAACAAAAATATACGCAAACAATCTTGCAAGAGTTTTTCAAAGCCCAGAACTGATATACGACAGAGCTTAATTTCGATACATCCTGGATGAATTTGGCAATGCAAATAACGTAAGCACGTGTGTCGTAGACCATATTACTGGTCTCTCTTTAGTCAGCATGTGCCACAGAAATAAGTCTAGGAACGTAATAACTGAATGGTAAGGGCTTCAGGCTTTCATATAGTAACTCTCTCACGCCCGTCTGAATGACGACAGGCCCGGCAGAATGGCAGAAGTCGGAAGGAAGCAGGCCCGCAAAAAGGCAGACGTCGGACGGAAGCAGAATGGTTGAATGGCAGGCGCCGGAAGGAAGCAGACCGGAAAAGCGCAAGGTGTCGGAAGCAAGCAGGCCCGGAAAAGCGGCATGCATCGGAAGGAAGCAGGCCCGGCAGAGTGGCAGGCGTCGGAAGGAAGCAGGCCCGGCAGAGCGGTAGGCGTCGGAAGGAAGCAGGCCCGGCGGAGCGGCAGGCGTCGGAGGGAAGCAGGCCCGGCAGAGCGGCAGGCGTCGGAAGGAAGCAGGCCCGGCAGAGCGTCAGGCGTCACAAGGAAGCAGGCCCGGCAGAGCGGCAGGCGTCGGAAGAAAGCAGGCCCGGCAGAGCGGCAGGCGTCAGAAGGAAGCAGGCCCGGCAGAGCGGCAGGCGTCGGAAGAAAGCAGGCCCGGCAGAGCGGCAGGCGTCGGAAGGAAGCAGGCCCGGAAAAGCGGCATGCATCGGAAGGAAGCAGGCCCGGCAGAGTGGCAGGCGTCGGAAGGAAGCAGGCCCGGCAGAGCGGTAGGCGTCGGAAGGAAGCAGGCCCGGCGGAGCGGCAGGCGTCGGAGAGAAGCAGGCCCGGCAGAGCGGCAGGCGTCGGAAGGAAGCAGGCCCGGCAGGGCGGCAGGCGTCGGAAGGAAGCAGGTCCGGCAGAGCGGCAGGCGTCATAAGGAAGCAGGCCCGGCAGAGCGGCAGGCGTCGGAAGAAAGCAGGCCCGGCAGAGCGGCAGGCGTCAGAAGAAAGCAGGCCCGGCAGAGCGGCAGGCGTCGGAGGAAGCAGGCCCGGCAGAGCGGCAGGCGTCGGAAGGAAGCAGGCCCGGCAGAGCGGCAGGCGTCGGAAGGAAGCAGGCCCGGCAGAGCGGCAGGCGTCACAAGGAAGCAGGCCCGGCAGAGCGGCAGGCGTCGGAAGAAAGCAGGCCCGGCAGAGCGGCAGGCGTCAGAAGGAAGCAGGCCCGGCAGAGCGGCAGGCGTCGGAAGAAAGCAGGCCCGGCAGAGCGGCAGGCGTCGGAAGGAAGCAGGCCCGGAAAAGCGGCATGCATCGGAAGGAAGCAGGCCCGGCAGAGTGGCAGGCGTCGGAAGGAAGCAGGCCCGGCAGAGCGGTAGGCGTCGGAAGGAAGCAGGCCCGGCGGAGCGGCAGGCGTCGGAGAGAAGCAGGCCCGGCAGAGCGGCAGGCGCCAGAAGGAAGCAGGCCCGGCAGAGCGGCAGGCGTCGGAAGAAAGCAGGCCCGGCAGAGCGGCAGGCGTCGGAAGAAAGCAGGCCCGGCAGAGTGGCAGGGTGTCGGAAGGAAGACAGGGCACGTCCGGGTCAGACCGACTGGAACCAGCTCGACCAGAGCAGAGCACGGGCCGAGAAAGGTCGTGGCGGCCCGTACCGGGCCGTACCGTACCACATATGCGGCTGCACCAGACTCGCGAACGGCCCCGACTCACAGGCTGGGACTGCGGACGGCGGCGGCCGGCTCGCTGTCCGAGTCGGTGCCGTTCGTGTCCGTCCGCGGCAGCGTCTTGACGATCTTCGGGTTGTACAGCTTCGGGTCGGACACCATGCGCACGAAGAACGACCGTTTATGCTTGAGCGCATCGCGGCTCTTCTTGGCCAGGTCGGTGTAGATCTGCTCAGGGCCGTTGGTCTTCACATCGACCAGCGCCTGAGGCGGACGCATGTCAAGTGACTGGGTGCTTGAGGACGTACGGGTACTTACGTCTGGCTGTTATGTGTGCATTCGTGCGCGCGAATCCGTGTGTGTGTGTGTGTGTGTGTGTGTGTGTGTGTGTGTGTGTGTGTGTGTGTGTGTGTGTGTGTGTGTGTGTGTGTGTGTGTGTGTGTGTGCGTGTGTGTGTGTGTGAGTGTGTGTGCGTGTGTGTGTGCGTGTGTGCAAGTGTAAGTGTATTCGCGAGTGTAACCACATATGAACTTGGCTGTATGAGCTCTGAATTAATGTAATTAGTGATATAAAAAGGCATTTCATATGGCATTAGTGAGGACAATGTTCTTCTAGTCGGGTCATGGAAAGTAGGATAAAATGCTCACTATTCTGTTCGGAAAAGGATGGAGGTTCCTGACGACAAATTACCTCTCCAAGCGCGCCGTCCGGCAGGAGCTTCTCCTCTGCCAGAAGATCCTCTGCAAACTTGGTGATCACCGTCCAGGCGTACACTGCAGTGAAAGAAATAAGAAAATATGTGTCGGTACAATACACACTGTGTCCGTTGCTCACGAATACTTGACGTCGCCTTGTTGCAAGAGCTTGGGCTCTTACTGGAATGCTGCAATCCACATTGCTCAGTTTCTTCGCGTGTTCCTCTACTTAGATAAAGTCGTGTGCTTGTAAAACCCATGGAGGCTTGTCAACGAGGTTATAGAAAAATATATTTTACTTGACGTCGTCCCAACATCCCCTCATTGCAGTATTTAATCCAGGCTGTACACGCTCACAGATATCCTTGTCCGTGGCGTTCTGCGCGCAGACGCAGAAGCGGATGACGAAGATGTCGTTGAGGGAGGCCGGCACCATGTGCAGCTTGCCGGAGGCGTTGATGTTGGTCAGAAGCTTCTGATTCAGCGCATTTGAACCCTTGAGGCGGAAGCAGACCAGACCCAGCTGAAATAAAAGGATCAGTGTGAGAAGACACATGAAATTTCATTAGTACATTCGTTCTTTAAAGATCCCCCACTAAAAACACATAACGGTTATCCAAAGCGTTAAAGCCCACGGCCCGACGAGAGCGATCTGCTTCTCGTACTCCTCCCATAACAAAGGGGTGATAAGCACTTCACCTACCCTTACCTTGACCTCGTTCATGAGCTCAAACTTGGGGTGGCGCTCCACGTAGCCCTGGAAGCGCTTGGCCAGGCGCACGTGCTCGCGGATGTAACGCCTCAGGCCCTCCACGCCGTGACTCCGTATCACGAACCACAGCTTGAGCGAACGGAACCGGCGGCTCAGAGGGATGCCCCAGTGCTGGTGAGAACAGCCACGGTCAGCGGGACCAACAGGGCGGCAGTTGGCAATAACAGTCACGGTCAGCGGGACCAACAGGGCGGCAGTTGGCAATAACAGTCACGGTCACGGAACCGACTGGACGGCATTTGGCAATAACAGTCACGGTCAGCGGGACCAACAGGGCGGCAGTTGGCAATAACAGCCACGGTCAACGGAAACCAACAGGGCGGGCAGTTGGCAATAACAGCCACGGTCAGCGGGAACCAACTGGGCGGCACTTGGCAATAACAGCCACGGTCAGCGGAACCAACTGGACGGCATTTGGCAATAACAGTCACGGTCCAGCGGAACCAACTGGACGGCAGTTGGCAATAACAGCCACGGTCAGCGGGACCAACAGGGCGGCAGTTGGCAATAACAGTCGCGGTCAGCGAGACGAACAGGGCGGCAGTTGGCAATAACAGTCACGGTCAGCGGAACCAACTGGACGGCATTTGGCAATAACAGTCACGGTCAGAGCGGGACGAACAGGGCGGCAGTTGGCAATAACAGTCACGGTCAGCGGAACCAACTGGGGCGGCATTTGGCAATAACAGTCACGGTCAGCGGGACCAACAGGGCGGCAGTTGGCAATAACAGTCACGGTCAGCGGGACGAACAGGGCGGCAGTTGGCAATAACAGTCACGGTCAGCGGGACCCGCAGGGCGGCAGTTGGCAATAACAGCCCGACATGAAGCTTCCATATTTGCCGTTATCCCAGAGCGCCGAGGAAATGTTTTCTGGCTAGGTTTACCTGTTGTTTACTGTCAGATTCTTGCGGATAGACGAAAAGGGAGAAGTTTTTAATACGGAGGATGAAAATCAATGCCTCCAGTGAATCATGATAAGAGCTGCTGGCAGCCCAGTCCTAACCAATCGTAAGTCGTATGGTGTCTTGATAGGTCAACGATGATAGTGTGCAGCAGCGAAGTTGATTTGGGGGCCGACACGCGACTCATAGCACTTTTACGGATGAACGCCTTTTATTGTACGGAAAACACACGTTGTTTATACAAGAGCGGATGCGTCATTATGTTCACCTTTCCCTCCCTGGTTATCTTTTTGTCCCCCTTCCTCCTCTTTCCCTTACGTCTTGTGTTTTGACCAATATCTGTACACGATTGAGATAGCAGTTAGATTTGTAGCGTATTTTGTGATGACGTACAACCGAATGACCCTGGTGCCGGGGCACGGACACAGCTGCTTACCCTGTAGTCGATGGACTTGTCCGAGTAGTTGTGCTGTAGATAGAGTGGGTCCACCACCAGGGCCTGGGTCAGCTTGAAGCGATCCCTCACCCTATGGAAGACCACCAACCGGTCATGGCTCTAGGTGTGACGGAAGGGGCGAAGGGGGAAATCGGTAATAATTTATTTAAGGCTACGAGCCTATGAGGCTTTTAGGGTCCGGTCCGCCTTGGTTTAAGCCACAGCGTGCTGCATTATAGGGCGACTTCGGAAGAAGCGGCACTTGCGGCGCCTCTGCCTGTCAATGGCGCACCCGTGGGTCGGACGGTGCTGAGGTCGCTTGGCATTTGGCAGTGCGTTAATCCAACCTCCATCGCGGGTTTTATACATGTTCCTGCTCCGGATACCAAGTTTTGGCACAAATCCTTGAAAACACCCGAGAGTGGGCGAATCTAGGTTTGCGCAACACCGCGCTTGAAAAAAAATCCACACACGGATCACACTTTGCCGGTGTGAATGCCCGTTTTCGTCCCCGTCAACATGGATAGCACCTATTTGTGACCTCACATCCTGCCTGCCCAAATCTGAACCTGTCTCCAACCCGCGATCTTGACTTGTTTGCGATTCAAATATTTCACTTTATCTAACCTTACATGGGTTTCAAGGCCATGACAGTCGAAGTATGGCAGCATTGCAGAAATGCACCGCCTGATCAGACAGCGTTCGCTTCAGCGTTTTGCAAATATTAAGGCATAATTGTTAAAGAATTGTGCTTCTTGTGGCTGCAGATCTCATGGAAGCGAGCCCGGTGCTTGCAGTGCTGTAAATCTGTCACAGGCTGGGCCGGGCCGGATCAGCACGCTGAAGCCACACAGATACCAGCTGGCAGGCATGGTTCGCACGTCCCGCAGGCTCGCTCGTAAAAACGACGGCAGTCGATGCCGCATAAACGAGACGGGACAAAACAGGGCGTCGACCTCCTGCCCGTCAGGCGACTACGCATGTCTGCCTCCAGTCGAGAATACCAATGAGCCAGGATATCACCGCTCCCATTCCAGGTTGTCGTGACCACTGGAAAATTACTGGCGTGTTGCCTCCAGTCAGCGACGCTCGTTCGTTCGATCAGGTGCCGTCCTTTCGCGAGAGACCGCGTGCCCAGACCAGTAATCGCCCATACTTGACTTCTTGACCTCGCGCGTGACCGGTCTTGAACGTTACGTCAGGTCACGATCTGCCGAGTTCAGACGCTGGAAAATGTAGGTCTGCTCCAGCAAACCAAATAGCCGAGATGTCTGGGCAGTAAATGTGACGTTGTTTTGCACATTACTCCTAGTGCGTTTGTGCATCGAACGAAACCATTCCTATTGGCTTCATCAGAGAAAAGAAGGATACGTGCGGCCAGGGCGGGACTATTTTCATCCGTGGCGGGTAGTATCTCGGTCACTGTCAGGCTCAATGGACTTCAACGGCGAACCCACTCCCGTTACGTGTCTTTGTATTTAAACGCTGCGGCTCAGCCCACTCCCATCACGCGTCTTTCTGTTCAAAAACTGCGGCTCAGCCCACTTCCGTCACGTGTCTTTCTGTTTAAACACTGCGGCTCAGCCCACTTCTGACACGTGTCTTCCTGTTGAACACTGTGCTCAGCCCACTTCCGTTACGAGTCTTCCTGTTTAAACACTTTGTTCAGGCCGCTCCCGTCACGTGTTTTTCTGTTTAAACATTGCTCAGCCCACTCCTGTCACGTGTCTTCCTGTTTTAATACTGCGGCTCAGCCCACTCCTGTCACGTGTTTTCCTGTTTAAACATTGCTCAGCCCACTTCTGTCACGTGTTTTCCTGTTTTAATACTGCGGCTCAGCCCACTCCTGTCAAGTGTTTTCCTGTTTAAGCACTGCGGCTCAGCCCACTCCTGTCACGTGTCTTTCTGTTTAAACACTGAGGGCTCACATATATTTCTGTTTAAACACTGCTACCCAGGTACACCGGCGCTTCTAGGAATCTGAAATTTCACAACCACCCGTTCGATATAAGATCTCAGACATACTTTGGATCCACCCATCAATCAGGTTTTGGATGCTCTGACACGAGGAGACAAATGTTCGTTGATTTCTCATCAAATATCTAGGTCACAGTGGAATACATTTCTCCTGGATCACTATCCCGTCATCATCTGAACACGCCATCTCGTTTGGGTTCGCACCGGTAAAAGAAACAACAGAGAACCCAATGGTAAAAAGCCAGATGGTTGGGGCGGGCTGCGTCATGCCTACCGTCAGCACAAGGGTGTCGCACGGTGCAGTGTCCAAGCAAGAGCGGTGTGCTGCACTATGCCAGAGAAAGGTAGGGATGCCCGCGGCCGTGATCAGGACGAACAGGCACGGGGCGCTTGTTCCGTGACAGGAATAAAGGCCGCACCGACCCCGGCCGCACCGACCCCGGCCGCACCGACCCCACCATTGTCCATGGGTATCCATCTCCCGCTTTCATGGACTTGTCGCACCTATTAGTAGAGTTTCAGAACAGGCCTTCATTACAACACATCGCCCATTTGCTTCTCGATTAACGGTTTAGAAGGGAAAGATTGCACATAAATTAAAGATGACAGCGTTCCCGCGTGCAAACCGCTGCCGTAATACGTGCTTCGCTTAGCCCCTGACCGTACTGACACCCGCACCGGATGGGTCGGAGTGCAACGCCTGCCCCCCCCCCCCCTCCCTCCCCCCCCCCGCTGGGCTAGCTCGTGCGTGCCGTGTCGTACAGAGTCCCTCCGAGGCAACGACTGCGGCCCTGTGAGGAACACTCCGATCGCACCGAATCACCGAGCAGTGGAGCAGGCCGTCAGTTCACTGGGTACATAGGATATAACAGCAGATGTACATAACACACAACCCAACCGAACATAATAACAGCCCTACCGAACAGGACCCCTGTCATAGACCTTTGGTCCATCTGCGACGGTGATCTGACTTAGGAGCGCGCTCAGACTTGTTCTTCTTCCCGTACTCTGCCACACGCACACACACACACACACACCACACACACACACACACACACACACACACACACCACACACACACACATCACACACACACACACACACACACACACACACACACACCACACCACCACACACACACACACACCCACACAAACAACACACACACACACACACACACACACACCCACACACACCACACACACACACACACACACACCACACACACACACACACACACCACACACACACACACACACACACACACCACACACACACACACACACACACACACACACACACACACACACACACAAACACACACACACACACACCACACACACACACACACACACACACACACACACCACACACACACACACACACACACACACCACACACACACCACACACACACACACACACACACACACCATGTAGGCGCGCGCACGAACGCAAGTAAGCACAGACAGGGTTTTGTGCTGTAGTACGTGCGAAGGTGAAGATTGGGGCGTACGTTATTTCGTGCAAGATAACGCACCATTATGTGCAAGCAGACAACACAACGCAAGATATTGCTGTTCAGCATATTGATAAAACTATTATATGATGGCTATAGAAGTGTGCAATATTTTGTTAAAGGCGATGGATAAAAATGTGCACCACATTCGAGTTACTTTTTCGGAACACTCAGTGATTCATCTCAGATCTTAGAGTAATCTCGGAAATATTTCATACACATCTAAGAGACCTTCATCACCTTATTTGATGGGAACAGTCTAATACTCACCACATAGTGGAGCAGTCAAAGTTTACCAGCATCCACTTGTTTGGGTTCATATTGAATGACATCGCGTACTGAAAATTGCAAATGATTACGACACCATCTACAGGATATCATTGCTCTACACAAGCTTTGTATGCCGCGTGATGTGAAGGTGACGCATGATGTTAGTACACGCCCAGCAAAACACACGACCTGGCTCTTGTAGGATACTTAAGCGATGGTGCAAATAGTGTTTATCATTTTAGGAAAAAAACACGCACCAGGGTTGTAGTTTCCTATTCAGTTGGGCGTTTCAGTCCCCCCTCCCCTCCCTCCCTCCAACTGGGGCCTCAGTCCTCCCTCCCCCTCCCCCACCTCTCGCCCAACGTTGAGAGAAAATTGGGCCTAATCCGGGGAGTAACCGTATGCTGGCGAATTTTGAGGTACCTTCCATTATTTGCCACGGTTCAACCCTCCCTCTCAGCTCACTTTTCGAAACCACATCCCTCCCACGCATGGCTAAACGTAAACCGAAATATCAAAACCTTGATTTTTTTAAACGCGTTATGCGCAAAGCAATGCCTATCGCATATCTAGAAAACGAGCAAAAGAAGAACCTGCTGAACCAGGCCCGAAAACAGCCATGGCATCGTAAAACGGCTTATGTAGCCGCCATCGTAGCCGGCGCTGCAGCCTGCTGCGCCGAATCTACGGTAGGATAACGGATTCTAGAGGATTCTAGAGGATTCGGATTCTAGAGGAGGCGACTCAGGATAACAGCATTCACAACCCGAGTGGACGCAGCGGCGCATCACTGTCGCTTCCGTACCTCGATGCCCTTCATCAGCGGCTTGAACTCGGGGCAGATGAAGGCGTTGCCGGCGTAGGCCGAGTCCACATGTAGCCAAACACCAGCCGCCTTGCACACAGGCCCCACTTCGTCCAGCTGGTCGAACGAGCAGCACGAGGTGGTACCCAGCGTGGTGGACACGAAGAACGGCACCAGACCCACGGCGCGGTCCTCGTCCATCGCCTGCGGCCCGGTCAGGCGGCCCAGGTCAGGTCAGGTCAGGATGGCACCAGGCCCATGGTGCCGTTCTGTCAGATTGATTCTAGACTGGTTCCCTGACCTCGTCCAGAGTCAATTCAGGTCATAGCAACATAAGGCTCACGCCTCACGCGATTGATGCACGCCGTGTGCTATCTGTGCTGGTCAATTTTGATGGTGCTTGGTGAAAGTTGTTAGAACGTACTGCAGGATGTGTTCATTTATAGCCTCCAGGTATCAGCAATATCCAGGGTTGAAAGTTTTGAACGGTTGGATGATGTGCCGGCATAAGTTATGAACTCGTTAGCAGCACACCTCGGGCCGTCCACGTACCCACACGTCCGTGTCTTGCAGCGTACTGGCAGGTAATTTCGAAACTTTTGCCACCCATAAACGTTGAAGTTGGCCCTCAGCGACTAGACTTCAAAAGAGGACCGAAGGATCCTGGTTAAGACGACAGTGCTGCACCATTCGCCGCCCTTGGGTCACGGTGAGCCCTTATGAAACGAGGTAAGCTCGCCGATATCCTTTGGAAACACGTGCAACTTATACCATGCTCTCGCGCGAGATAGTCGAGTGCTGGCACACGTCTTATTGTGGCCCAGTGGCTGATCGACCGCTAATGTACAGGAGACGCTATGGGTGGGGCAGGGAGTTTTTTAACCTTTGTGCTACTGCTTCCATTCAAGGTGCATGCATTCAAATCAGCCGCAAACTATCAAAAACACAAGCAAAAGCCTATGCACTCTTCCCCCGGTTATTTTGTTCGCCTTCCCAAATGAATTCAGTTGGAGTCTGCTCCCGGCGACTACGAAACCACGAAACGCCAAATTTGTGATGTATATACGCTTTAAAATCCCTCTATTTTCCTTAATTTCTAAATTCCTTCATGTCGGCGTCCAGCTAGTGAAAAGTTTATGACTCATAGCCCTGATAAATGAAAGTTAAATGTGCCGCCACAAAGACACAATCTGACCGGAGTGTGACGACAGCCGGCCGCTGCTTGTAGACAAAACCTAAGGCCGTTTCCTGGCCGATGCCGGGCCTCCAACCGATGGCTGGCTGACCTGCTGCATTCGTTCTTAGGCGCATAACCACAGACCAGCTTCAGCGGCCTTCTGTGCATGTCAGCTGGCCTGTGTCAGTGCCTAGCTGCGGAAACTGAACAAGCCATAAGCTCGGCCTGGCTCGTGTGTTTGTGGCCCTGTGTGCAGCGGCACCACACGCCTGACCGGGCCGGTGCGTTTGTGGCTCTGTGTGCGGTAGCACCACACGCCTGACCTGGCCGGTGTGCTTGTGGCCCTGTGTGCGGCGGCATCACACGCCTGACCTGACCGGCGTGTTTGTGGCCCTGTGTGCGGCGGCACCACACGCCTGACCTGGCCGGTGTTTTTGTGGCTCTGTGTGCGGCGGCACCACACACCTGGCCTGGCCGGTGTGCTTGAGGCCTTTGTGCGGCGGCACCACACGCCTGACCTGGCCGGTGTGTTTGAGGCCTTTGTACGGTGGCACCACACGCCTGACCTGGCCGGTGTGTTTGAGGCCTTTCTGCGGCAGGACCGACCTGTTTGAGCGTGGCGCCCCGCAGACTGAAGCGCTCGTCCGGCTCCAGAATCCTCAGCTTGACGAAGCTGATCATGGCCGCCTTCTCCACGCAGCTGTGCGCCTCTTTGGAGCAGTAGGCCATCAGCTTGGAGAGCAGCACGCCCTCCTCCACCGCCGGGTGCTGTTTCTTCAGCTGGCGGATGGCCTGGGCGCGTGCCGCCAGCAACGACACCAGCACGCACTCGCTGGCTGACGTCTGTCAAACATAGGTGCCCGGCTAACTAGAGAAAGCTATGACAGGCGGATTGTTGGCTATGAGGGCATAGCTGGTTGTGTAAAGCGCATATAGTGAGGGCATGTACTGGCTATTTTCGGGTATGACAACGAGATGCAAAATCGGTGCCGTAAGTACGATTTTCAGGACAAGATTCCAGGTAAACGGAAGGGAAGGGTAGCTCTCATTTGGGGAATAAATCATGTGAATTCAATTGCCAAAAATGAATCAATGAATTCAATTGCCTACGTCGGTGCGTTGCTGCCCTTGATTTCATAGAGCAGTGACAAATCAATATATAAAATCGCTGGTTCGCACCATCATGTACTACTACAGTCAGCCGGAGCGGGCGACATGCTCTGACCTGTATGACCCCGCCTCCCATGCTGTGCTCGGTGAAGGAGAGGAACTGGTCGGGCAGACCAATCATCTTTCCCAGCCAGTCGAGCACAATGGTCTCCAGCTCTGTGCAGGCCGGACTGGCTGCCTGTAACGCCGCACACACAGCCCTGGTGAAGACGCTCACGCGCCTGAGGCTCGACACAGCCCGTTCCAGGGCGGGCTCGTGTGTCGGAGCTTCGTCCCAGATGTGGCCGGTGGGCCCTTGCTTTACGGTCAAGGCACGTCTGGCGAGGTCACAGACACGGCTGGTAAGGTAGAGATACGGCTGGCGAGGGGGAGATACGTTAGTGGTTGGTCGTCTTTCCAGTCATGCTGAAATAACCGCCAGATCTAAGCCCAAGACAAGACTAGGAATGCAGAGAAATGGTCCCAAGTCTGACTGACATATCAATATTTACTGATATATTGATAGCTATATTCACATACATGCCTGCGCTCCCACATCTGGCCCCCATATCTGGATGGCTATATCTACTATGAATGATACGTCATGTCGTTAGCGTTGCTGTGGGGAGATCCAGCTCCTTCTGCAATGGAAAGCTCAATGTCCAGATGAGAAAAGTGAAAGAGGATCATTTTCTTTTGTAACCAATATTTGATTTACGCCTCTTGCGTCATGCACAGGTTTTCGAACTTCAAACCACCAGAAAATTAGGCCAAGCCCCTTGACTAACAATATTTCCTTTGTCCCTAGACCCAGCCTGTCACCAGTCCATGCAAGGACTGGAGCAATGGCGCCTCCTGCTGGGATAGACATCTCGTGACCAAGGGATCTTCCTACTCATGTACCCAACCGCGACGCGGGACGTGCGAGCAGACATCGCGCATCTGACTGCGGCTGACGAACGAATAGGCATGCTCGGAAACCAGCTGGTGCGAGTACCCAGCTCAAACAGTAGCACGTACCCAAGAGAAGCCGACGCAGAGCCCAGACAGCATGTCGGCCAGGATCGAGGGGTACGAGTTGCCGGCCGGGAAGTAGGCGTGGAACTGCGGGTGCTGCCAGTGCACCATCTGGCAACAGGACAGCACCGGTCGGCTATGTCTCGCAGTGGCAACATGGGATCGATCCCCAGCGCGGGCCTCGTCCTTACGTCTATGAGGTTGGCACTGTGTGTCTGCAGCCTGACGAGGCCGTGAGCGTGCGCCCATGGATAAGTCTTCTATTTTGTGATGTCAATGTATATTTGCACCGCTTTTCTGCGTTTTTGGTCTTTTTTAATAGTAGAGACGACTTTCGAGATGCTTCTTTGCGAGGTGGCAACTCAAAGTCATCGGCAAATTTATGACATCTGCAAAAACATACTTTTTAAGGATTTACTGTGACATCCAATCGTACTTACATGCTCCGTAAGTTAGCTCAGATCAAGCAAAACAGAGTGATGTATCTAATTAAGAAAACCTGAAAATCATGTGCAAACGATGCCCAGCCATATGGCCTCGCCAAATATAAGAACAACACCGGCGACCAGTGCGTACTCACGGGGCGATCATTGAAAAAACAACCAATGCGTTCATGCTCTGCTTCTGCTTACCCCAGGCATGATCTTCTTCTCCAGATCTTTCATGATTCCTTCCCAGGTGTCGCTCTGCTCTGGTGGATCGTAAGGTATCAGATCCCGCAGGTATCCTGCCAGCAATAGCAAACAAAACGGTACATGTATGCGCTCCGAAACTTAGTCACTTGCGCCAGGTGAAAGACACGTAGCTGAGGACGATGGATCATCACTCACGTGGCTATCATGTCCCTATACCTCATTGTCGTGTTGGCTTTTCTGCAAGACGATTTTCTCTGTTTTCTATGGGTTCTCTGAAGGGAGGCATCACAAGCTTATGTTAGGAGCATCTCGCGGCATTCCCTGCGCCCTAACGGCAGAGACTCACGACCTCTCCTGAAGCCTCCTGCGACCTTTGACATCTCTCGAACTCCTGTTGCCGCGGGCCCAGGGACTGCTTCCATCTTGACCTTTTTCACAACTTTTCCTGGACAGCGCTCGTTTGCGGTGTCCGCGTGAAATGCCAGCAGTACCTGATCCCTACGTCTCAGTGCCGGTGCAGTATGACGTACCAGCAGTATATGATCCTTACGTGTCAGTGCCGGTGCGATGTGGCGTACCAACAGTATCTGATCCTTTCGTCTCAACGTCGGTGCAGTGTCGTGTATCAGCAGTATCTGATCCCTTCGTCTAAGCGCCGGTGTAGTGTCGTGTACCAGCAGTATCTGATCCCTGCGAGTATGCGCCGGTGCAGTGTCGTGTACCAGCAGCATTTGATCCCTACCTTTCAGTGCCGGCGCAGTGTGACGTGCCAGCAGTATCTGATTCCTACGTCTCAGCACCGTGCAGGGTGCCGTGCCAGCAGTATCTGATCCCTACAGCTCAGCGCCGGTGCAGTATCGTGTACCAGCAGTATCTGATCCCTACATCTCCGTGCCGGTGCAGAGTGGCGTACCAGCAGCATCTGACCGCTACGTCTCGGCGCCAGTGCAGTGTCGTGTACCAGTAACATCTGATCCCTACGTCTCAACGCCGGTGCAGTGTCGTGTACCAGCAGCATCTGATCCTTACATCCCGGCGCCAGTGCAGTGTTGTGTACCAGCAGCATCTGATCCTACGTCCTCGGCGCCAGTTGCAAGTGGCTCGTGTACCAGTAACATCTGATCCCTACGTCTCAAAACGCCGGTGCCAGTGTCGTGTACCAGCAGCATCTGATCCTTACTCCCGGCGCCCAGTGCAGTGTTGTGTACCAGCAGCATCTGATCCCTAACGTGCTTCGGCGCCAGTGCAGAGTCGTGTACCAGCAGTAAGCTGATCCCACGGCTCCGCGCCAGTGCAGAGGTCGTGTAACCAGCAGTATCTGTGAATCCTACAGGCTCAGCGCCGGTACAGTATCCGGGTACCAGCAGTATCCGATCCCTACGTCTCGGCGCCAGTGCAGTGTCGTGCACCAGCAGCATCTGATCTCCACGGCTCCGCGAACGGTGCAGAGTGGCGTCACCTGGCTCGATGTCTGGCGTGACCCGGCGCAGATGCAGGGTCTCCATGTAGTCGGCGATGTAGTCCACCATCTGGCGGCCCCGCCTCCGGAACTCAGTGTGGTCCATCAGGCCGCCGCCAGCTGACGGCGGGCACCAGCTGTCGGCCCGACAGGAGGCCGGCGCAGCCCTGAGTCAGCTCAACACGCTGCCGGTCCGGCCCATGCCGGTGCAACGTGCATTTGGCCCAATACAGCATCGACACTCGACACACTGAAGAGAACCACCCACCAGGTAGCAAAAGGATGTCAGGCATTTTGGTGATTGAAATTTAACACGGTGATTTCTTTATATTTCGTACCAATTACCGCCATACATTTCCAACACTAAATTACTTTGAAATTTGCCAGCGGTGTGTGTTTAAAAAAGCGGCTGTACAAAACCCGAGGGTATCCTTCGTGTCATTTTCCCAAACTTGCCTCTGAGGTAGGCGTCTTGATCACAAAGAACTAACGAGATTGATGAAGGGCATCATTTCTTTTGATTCACTTAAACCGAAATTTGCTAAGCAAGCCCTGCCAGCCGTGTGCCATGCGACGGCGCCGAGGCCGCTGGTCCGTCATATTCCCTGTGGCGGGGCATGCGGTGGGCGGCGGCGGGGCTCCGCTGGTGGGCGGGTATGCAAGGCACGCGCGCCGGCCGGGGCCGAATTACGGGCGCCGATGACCGGCCTGGGGGAGGGGCGCGTGCCCGCCGCCGCGTCCGTAAACAGCCGCGCTGCCGGCGCGCTCAATCAACTCGGCCCCATCACCTCCCGTTTACGTTTCCCATTGAGATGGGTTATTGAAGTCGTGACGGCATCCGCGCGCTTTTGTGATGGCGCGCCGGGCCGGTCGAGCAACAAGTGGGCCCGGCCTGGCCGCATTGTGAGAGCGGCGCCTGTCGGTGACGCGGCGGCGGCAGGCCATTCTCATGGCTCGCGCTGGCCGCTGATGGAAATAGCTCTCGCCGGCCGCTGTGAGAGGGCTCTCGATGGGCGGCAGAGGGCCGCCGCCACGCTCCGTCATCCAGTCAAGAGCACCAGACCGATCGCAGTTGGCGCGACAGCTGAGCAGCAAGCAGTCTAACGACCTCATCGTGACAAAATCAGCCATTGATAACCAGCGGATTGTTGTGCCAAATCAGCCCCATTGAGTGCACAGGGCGGGCTCAAAGGTTTCCTGCCTTCGTTTGAACACTGCAGGACACAAAACCAATTAATCAACACGTGAATAACGTTTTAGAATGCATGCAAAATGTGGGTTCAATCGACATGGTGTTCATCATTCCTCGAAATGCACTCCCTGAAAGGTATAGTGCGACACGTATACAAAACAGGTTCGATGAGAGCAGCCGAGTGCGCTTTCTTGTCCATCTCCAACGTCTGTTACGCGCTGGGACGCGATCACAAAACCATCAGAAAAATGTATAAACAGTTTCTGGGGAGGTCAGTGTTGATAGCCTAACCCGAGGCCCTGAGTGCAGAAATGTGCGAAACATTCCGAAGAAATCACTGGAAACGTCGCAGCCACTCTACTCAAAACCTAAACGAGGTCAATTAGTAAAAGCGCAACCCAAATTGACGCCAGTCACGGCACTGTGCAAAAAATTCTAGGAAGAATAACACAATTCAAACCACCGGTCCATCAAACACTGTCTGAGGGCAACACGACAGAAATATTTGCTTTCGCAAGCTCTTACTGTTGCAAGTGCGCTGCTGCCTACGACTTCGTCAGTGACGTTGGTGTCAGTGACCGGGCCCAGTTTCTGCTCGATGGGTGTGAGCATCCAACTTACAGGATTCGAGCCAACTCCCTTCCAGACCCAAAGCTCTCGAATGAGCCACAATGAGCTCCAAATACCAAAAGAATTGTCAAACATGAGCGAGAAACCCCTCGAGCTCCTAGTTTTATTGTCAAAGCTCGACATTTCGAGCCGTGATCATGACTACAGCCGTGGATTTTTGACAATAAAATTAATGTTTGCTTGATAACGTCATTTAACCAATACCTCATGTCATATGAAAAGTCGACTGCTGTCAGCAAATGAACTCTGTGGTCATTATTCCAAAAGTTTACCGTGTACCCTCTGGGCATTGACTGGAAAAAGGGCCTGAGTTTTCCTACCTAGAACTCCGTTGCTTCGCCGGTAGGTTAACATTATTGACCTCACCATATATTTCATAATTTCTAACTCCCACTGTGCATGAGGTTGATTGAAAATTGGATGGAGATTGTCCAAGCCAATTGTCGTTTTTACATGTGAAACAGGACGCTAGACCCTCTGCCTGCTAAAACTATCACCACATTTCACCGCACCAACGACGCAGCAATAAATCAGCGCCACGATGTGTCGATATGGCGGATGGCGGTCAAAGCGACCGTAAGCAACGCCAACCGCACGATGGAGGGGGGCCCGAGCTCATCCTAGTGCCGCACCGCTCATGATCACCACCTGCACGATGGAAGGGTGGCCGATCTATCCTAGGCCGCACCGCTCGGATCGCCACCGCACGGGGTGCCGAGCTCTCCTAGTGCCGCACCGCTCTGATCGCCACCGCACGGTGGAGGGGTGCCGAGCTCTCCTAGTGCCGCACCGCTCGGATCACCACCGCACGATGGAGGGGTGCCGAGCTCTCCCAGTGCCGCACCGCTCGGATCGCCACCGCACGATGGAGGGGTGCCGAGCTCTCCCAGTGCCGCACCGCTCGGATCACCACCGCACGATGGAGGGGTGCCGAGCTCTCCCAGTGCCGCACCGCTCGGATCGCCACCGCACGATGGAGGGGTGCCGAGCTCTCCCAGTGCCGCACCGCTCGGATCGCCACCGATCTTGACAGCTGCTGCGGTGAGCATGATATGCCACATAGGGCGCGTGCTGACAGTGCCGCGGACCCGTGATCGCAATTGCGTGGCTTGGATCCCGCGGTGTTTGACCCTATTTGTCATACCTTTATTGGTCTATTTGCATTTAAGAGGCGCCGCTGCGACGAGCCGTGACTGGCATTCAAAGTGTGGGCCGCGGAGAAAGCATTGGGGATGGGCTCGCCCCCTGACCCCTCCCCGACCCCAAGCAGGTTGGCTCTTGCCACCTTTTAGCGGTTTTTGTTGATTTTTTGTCGTTGGTGTTGGTTAAACATTGGCGAGACCAGGCTGCCCGTTGGCACCCGTGGCTGTGACCCTGCTGTCTGTAGCAGCTCGACACGGTCCTACCGGCTGCTGATAGCAATGCTCCGATAGAGTGCACGCGGACGACCTTGCGCCTATACGGATTGGTCTATCCATACAGGACGCAAGTCACGCTGGCCCCCGATAAGGTCGACGCGGTGCTGCACACGTCAAAGAGAGCGTGTGCTACTGCGGTGCTTCAGCGACGGCCTCGGTAAGGGCAAGGTGTTTTGACGGCAGTTAAAGGCTTCATTTCGTGCTTTTGTTCGCAGTCTATGCTAAGTCTAACTAGTGCTATGCTAAGCTCAACCGGACTATTCCGAGCTGTTCTGAATACTTTCTTAGGTCCGCTGCTCAGACATCCGTCCTTGTTTGAGTTAATGTGTCGATGAAAAACCACAAGCAACGCTCTTGTGGGTGGAAAATTGATGGAGAGACTGCCGGCGAGTTTTTTCTGATTTTGGAAATGGGTGGCAGGATTCGCACCGAGCACCACCTTTAAATACCAAATACCACCGTGAGCTCTCAATGCGCGGTGACGAAAAACTCAGATCATCCCCGTGGTGTTCACCGATGTGTCGCAGATGTCAGACTGTCGCAGAAAAGCACGCCGGTACGTGGTAGTGTGACGGTCTGCGCCTGGTCGATGTTCCTAGTCCTTGGGTTCGAATGGTTATTCTATCACGCTGTAGACAAAAGGCGCACCAGCGCATAGACAGTGAAGTCACCATGGCGCTTCAATCCTGGTATTTATGTTGCGACTCACGGGAGTAGAAATCCTTTCACCGAGTTTTTAGATTGATGCGGCTTAGCATTTGACAAAAACAGCACGGTACCAGAGACTCAAAGTCATTGTCTTTCTGAAGCCGAATTCTGCCTATCTCAAGACATGGGCCTATAGTGATAAGGACTGTCAATGGCTTCGCCCAGCGTGGCCCATGTTAGAGATCGAATGTTCATTGGAGAGATTGGGTTAACCTACGACTGTTACCACCAGGGAAATTCTTCGCTTCACCTCCTACCCATTTGAGCTACGTGGCAAAACCTCCAGGCAGATACTGTCATTAACCTAACATGTTTGCAATTAGACATGAGCATCAGGGCAATCCGGTGTTGATTTCTTAGGACTAGATCGCCATGGGCGGCGACAAAATGAGGCCATAAACACCATCGTAGGTTCCAAATTTTGAGTCTTTTCAGTTTTTTGTTACTGCTTAAGAAGCGACAAATCACGTAAGTTGTTCAGTGCATTAGCGAGGAACATTAGTCACATAGATGAGACTGTAGCATTCGCATTATTCCTCGGAAAACCAGGAGAATAGAGATATAGTTATGTTGATGTTTCGGCAACATATTTTTCTCAAAACAATAGCAGAAGTGAATTCAAAATTGCTTGCCGACGTTCCTACTCGATTTTTCAGTTGTTGTTTCTTTTAAATAGCAAGCCACAGTTTTTACTGGACACCAACATTCAGGGGATTCAGGGCTTCAGAGATTCAGATTCAGGGATTCAGGGGATCAGGGGAAGAAAATGCTCATCTTTGTAAAGTAGCGTTAAGAATCCGTCTTCCGACTGGACGTGTTCGCGCCTCCTACCACTCATCCCCCGACGCGCCCTAGACTTTTTTACTTCTTCCAACATTCTACCTAAAAGTCGCGGAGAATATCCGTTACCCAACAGCAAAACCCATGTTTTGTATGCTCTTTCTTTCCTTTTTACTACTTGATGAGTTGTTTAGAACCCTATCGAACATGTTACGAATTATACGCGTACGCACAGCTTGGAAAAACGACAAGAAGTTTCAAAAGTCTCTGGTGAAATCTTTCATCTCGGAGCCTAAGTGCCCGGGTGGCAACAGATGCATTTATGCAATTCTGGGTTTCAAAGGGCTTGCACGCAAAGAAACCGTGGTTTACGAAATCAAGTGCAAACTGTGTGAAAAACAGGGGAGGGACATAACCTGTGTCGGGGAGTCTATGTGCCCTGTTCGTTTTAGATATGATGAACACCTACGAGACGCTAAAAACAAAACAGGGAATACTCTTTTTGGTGACCATTTTTTGGCAAATACGCTCAGGCTGACATCGAGGGAAGTATGAACCCTATGCCCCTTTTAGAGCTCAAAGTCATCTACAGAGCGCAGGACCGCCCAAAGAGGAAAATAAGTGAACGTTTTCTTACAAAAACTCGGCGGCCAAATGTTAGCAGACAGGGCTCATCATGGCCAATTATGCGAACGTGATATGTGCCTCTATGTGTGATGTGTACTTGCTTAAAATCGTGTACGTGTGTACGTGGCGCCTGTCGCGTGATGTGCAATGCTTGTTCAATGGAAATCGTTAGCATGCATATTTGGTGCGCGATGTGGGATGCCTGTTTACTGCAGCTCGCTTGCATGTTCGAATGAAGCTTGATGCGTGGTGCCTAGTTGTTTGAATTTGTTTGCATGCACACGTATGTCCGGGCATTCTAATTCTTACATAGACACTGTATTTTGGTAATGGCTGGCAATCGCTTTGTTTAATTGTCTGAATGTTGGTGTCCAGTAAAAACTGTGGCTTGCTATTTTAAAAAACTGAAATATCGAGTGGGAGCATCGGCAGACGACTTTTAATTCACTTCTGCCATTGTTTCAAGAAAGGCGTGTTGCCGAAATATCAACCTAACTATATCTCAATTCTCCTGTTTTTTCCAAAGAATATGGCTAAAGCTACTGTCTTAGCGACAAATCACTTATGATTAACGGTTCAAACAGCAATAAAAAGTAGCAACAAGTCATCAGGGTTCGAGCCATTTCCTCTTAGTTGTTAGTTACTCATTAAGGTCAATAGTCTTTTCCTGCTTTCATAATGTAGCGACACAATATGATGAAAGTGATGTTTTCCTGCGATCTGAGCCCTGTCCAAGATAGATATAGACATGATAGATAGATAGATAAATAGATAGATAGATAAGACATTATATTTTACAGTGCTATCGCAGTGACGAACGACACCTTGAGGCAATCCCGGTGAAAACGCGATGCTTACTCATGTTTTTTTTATCATGTAGTGCCATGGGGTTGATGTCTAAGTCCTCGCAAAGCTAGAAGGATACTGTTCCGTTGCCGCTACCGCACTCGCATGTTTCCTGCTTTAATGTTTGCTCTGGTATGCCAGGTTATTTCATGTAAATTGTGCGTTAAGATGTACATGAAATGCATCAAACGATTCGTTTACTATATGCCCGCATTTGCTACCAGGGGGCTGCCGTGCTATATCTGTGATATCACATGCACAGGGGTTAAGAAGGTTGACCTAGTATGCCAGCCCCTCATAACTCAGGTTATTGCCATTAGTATGGGATGGATGGGTTTTGTGAGCTACTGACGTAATTCTATCTAACAAATATGCAAGCTGATGCGCATCTCCGTGTGCGGAATTGGAACTTGCATGACCTCTATGTCTGACCCGATTTTTGAGCTATTGCATGTTATGGGTAAATAGCTTGAAACCCCTGCTCATGCTGACCCCCGGGTACTATTCAGATCGTCAGACATATGTGACAATGCATATTGGTCTATCCACCAAAGACCTCTACCCACCTCTACTTCTTTTCACCTCTACCACCTCTAGAGGACCCAGATATCTGCTTCTACCGCCTCTCTGATCCCTATCTACCAAAGTGAGACCTTGACCTATTGCCAGTTATGCCAGTAAAGTAGACCAACACGCACACCTGCACACTGGGCAGGCCCAGTTGAAGCGTCTCGGCATTCAAACTTGTCATTAAGCCACAACTTGCGAGTAATCGCAGGTGAATGAGAATCTTTTCACTTGGCCAGGGCTCTGAGGTCATTGGTGAAAGCCACGTCATCGTCGCCAAAAAACGGAATGTCACCATCCGGACTGTGGCTTAAATCGGCGAACTGATCGGTTGGTTTCGCAGGCAAGTAGAAGCAAAATCTTTCAACAGCTCGGGGTGTAGCTTAGACATCCCAGTCGATGCATGGTTAATGGTACGCTGTATTGAACTCATCGAAATGTGTTGTTTCATTCAATTACTCTAAGATGGTTTTGTACATGTGCGATTGATTTCATGCTCAGTGTAGTTAAATCGGCGAACCAAAAACCAACGAGAAATAACCAAAATGGCTCATTTCAATGGTGGCAGGTTGAGCGTGCCGTAATCATACACGTCACTGCCGCTTAGTAAGAAGCATTTTTGAACGGACGTTCGGTCACCGACCTTACTCACGTAATTAAAATACACAACTAAAAAGCGGACGACAGAAGCCAGCCAGCGTATATAGCATATACACAATTTGTGTTCTCAGTACACACGTGATAAAATGGCACACAATTTACACACATTGACGCAACAAATTATAAGAAATGATATGAGATCAAATACACTAGCTTGGTGCTCATGAGCACTGCACGATTCTCCAGGCAGCCAAATGGAACTATTTTATCTTGGAAAATCGTGTAAGTTTCCAACTGTGAAAAGCAAGTAAATTTGGCCTCCTGTGATTCCTTGTAATCTGTTTGGTCGAAGAGTGGGCAATACGTGTCATTTTATCAAGTGTTGTTGAAGAAATCATCGTATATGCCACTTTGCTTGCATTTGTTTTCCCATTTTCTTTTTGTGCCGGCGCTTTTTTCCACGCAGAAGTTTGTTTGCTGTATTGTTAAGATACTCTGCTTTAATCCTTTGAACCTTTCAATGCATCTGACCCTTTAATTCAATGGGTTATGTTGATATGTTAACCCTCGCTTTGAAGGGGAAGGTTCAATGCGACCCCCTTAAGGTTGTTTGAGAATACCTTTCCGGCATGTTGCGCAATGGGGCGTAAATTTTCGCTAGTCTATTGGGCGTGTTTGTATTCATTGTGCGTGTCTGGACACAAAAGATATGTTCCTAGATTTTCTGGTTTCTGAGCAGCGGTGTTTTTTTTAGGAATGCCGCACGGTAATCTACGGCTTAGCGCAACCAGCGGGCGGCAACCGACGATGGCGCGGAATGTGTATAATAGCGTTAGATGCGTGGATGCGCCGGTGCCAAAAGACATTGGGTCTGTAAAAACACCCCTTATTGCCGACCAGAGCGCAGAACCACCAAGTCGATATCCAAAATTTATGCAGCGTTTGTCGCGATGGTCTAGGCCGCCATTTATACTCTTGTGCGTCCAATGTTGGGTCAGGTGTCATCATGCAAGAGGTTATGGCGTAAAAAGCTGGTGTGGCCAATGAGCATGGTAGCTGGGCGAGGGACGGCAGCAGATCTCTCCCTACGTTCCTCTCAAGTTTTCCCAAAGCTCTCTAGAGTTCTCCCCAAACAAGGAGGGTAAGTCTCATCATAGCCCACAAATCATCCCAGATTTCATGGACGTTCGTGACGAGATCATCGAAGGTAGACACAGGCGGAGCTGCCTTCAGCATCGTTGGCACTAATGATTATATTTGAAAAAGGGAAAAGCATCCAGCCTCGGCATTACACTCCAGTCCCAAAATTCCACCCGTCCAATGAATCCGCTGTCCGTGATGGTCGACCGGACCTGGGCATGGGTTGGGCATGCAGATGATGTGCTGGCAAAACGCTCCCGATCACAGTGATACTGAAAGTTTTTTGTCACCATTTCACCCGAGAGGCGCTCCACTTTATTATCCGAGTGCACTCGTTCGCCACGTATGTTACTCTTTGCCCATTTGAGCGAATGCCATCGAGAGGCAGTTCGTACAAGACCAGAAGATCTAAACTACTATTGCCGTCATTAACGGTACCCATCAGAGCGACCACGCCCACGCCCGTTGGCAGCTGGGCCGGACATGTGTATAAGATCTGGTTAGATAAACTATCTACGCCTCTTTCTGAGAAAGAGACGCTGTTAATGATTTCCCAGGCCTGATATGTCGAGGAGGAGGCCCCAGCTCCAGCGCACTCAGTGTCTGACTCACGCCCAGACCGCGCTCAGTGTCTGCCTCACGCCCAGACCGCGCTCAGTGTCTGCCTCACGCCCAGACCGCGCTCAGTGTCTGCCTCACGCCGAGACCGCGCTCAGTGTCTGCCTCACGCCCAGACCGCGCTCAGTGTCTGCCTCACGTCCCGACCTCGCTCAGTGTCTGCCTCAAGCCCCGACCGCGCTCAGTGTCTGCCTCACGCTCAGACCGCGCTCAGTGTCTGCCTCAAGCCCAGACTTTCACGCATCAAATACGTGATCCCGCGCGAGGTGCAGTGCAGCTCCGCCGCTGCCAGTTGCGATGTACGAGGAGAGCTTTTTCGCACAGTGCCGTCTGCTCGTGGGCCATTCTTCCACGAACACGGGAGTGTACATCGCTCAGAAAAAGTGCGTTTTGTTCCCTGCGTGTTTGTCTAGCACAGTACTGGCTTACTTGAAACGCATGTGGCGAGGCGACCAGAAAACCTTTTAACGTAGAAGACCGTCGATAGGTGAACACAAATATAGCCACACCTCAATACTGCAGGTAACTCTGCTCGCCAGATCGCGGGGTCCTTCATGCCCACAGCCATTCAACACGTGATTATTATCAAAGGGTTGTTATTGACGGCTACGGGGTTCTCTGTCTGCACCTCCGTGTGCAACAGCTGCTGGTCTGACCCGTGTGGAAGTTCTCCCTAATGCATGGAACGCTTCTTTGATGAGAGAAACAACTTTGTTCGCCGTGAATGTGTCAGTGACGCTCGGCAGAGACCAAATGTGCATGCAGCTGAGGTGGTTAATGCCACTAAAGGCTTCACTGATTGGCACAACATGACCTCATTTTTAAACGGCCTGCAGCCAGTGGGACGCGGCCGGTCGGCAGGGCCCGGTCGCCGTGGGAGTAGCTCACCTGGGTCGCCGCGTCCGGCTGCTGTGTGGCCGCCGTCCCCGGTCGACCGGCGCCGTCCGAATGTCGACGGCCGCCGCCTCGGCCGCCAAGGCTGCGGCCTGACCTGTGGGTCGCAGACGTTTACGCAAGCGCCAAGCGGCCGCCGCGCAGGTCCGCCGCAGCGCCGGCCTCTCTCGAACGATCCGAGGCTCGAGCATGTGCCGCGCGCAGCACCTTGCTGACTCCGGCCCGTGGGGGTGGTGTTGTGTGGCGCGGCGAAATGAGCGAATGGAGAAACTCGAGGTTTGATGAGAGCGTTTAGAAGTAAATAAGCACACCGTTGCGTGCGGAATGCCAGGGACGTAGGGTCGCATTCAGGTCGAGAGGTTTTGACTCTTCCAGCAAGCAGTTCAGCTCCTCATCCCCCCCCCCTCCTGTCAGCCTGACAGCCAGCCTCTCTAATCTGTGCTTATGACAAATCATAGCAATATGAGCCGGGAGTAACTCCGGTAAGAGCCGGATGAAACACAGGCTGCTAACTCAGAATATCACGGCAAGCCAGGCCGAGTATGTCAGAAAAATGCTGCTTAGCTTATATTGATTTGATGTAATTTGTGTGCATATATCGATCCGTCCTTACATCGGCCTAACAATATTTCATTAATTTACTTATATGAGTTAGCACTGGTTGCGTCGTTGTCAGCGCAAAGAGCTGAACAAAACTGGCTATCGGCCCAAAAGCTTGGGAAAACATTTGGCGTTCCTGCCACTGTCGGTGCCTTCAGGCCCTCGACTTTTGATACATCCATCTTATAAAACGTGCACTATAACATACACAACGACAGCACATACGACCAGCAGCAGTCTAGCGCTTCAGCGAATCTTTGAATATGCTCAGTTCGCTCCACAACAGACGACTCATCTGGCAAATTTAATTCAAGCGGAAACGGTCATGACCTCATGTTACGGAAAGAATGTGACATTATGTGATGATTAACCGAGAGAAACGTGTGCATCATGCGAGGGGGGGACCAGAAGGCTAAGCCAGTCAGCGAGACAAGGAAAAAGGAAGAGAGAGAGAGAGAGAGAGAGAGAGAGAGGAGGGAGAGAGAGAGAGAGAGAGAGAGAGAGAGAGAGAGAGAGAGGGGAGAGAGAGGGAGAGGGAGAGAGAGGAGAGAGAGAGAGAGAGAGAGAGATGAGAGGAGAGAGAGAGAGAGAGCGAGAGAGAGAGAGAGAGAGAGAGAGAGGGGAGGAGAGAGAGAGAGAGAGAGAGAGAGAGAGAGAGGACGGAAGGAGAGAGAGAGGGGGGAATGGAAGGAGGAAGGGAAGAGTTTGACATAGTGATAGAGATAGTGCGGTGGCTTGTTCGCCGTAAATATGTCAGTAGATAGAAAGAGACAGAGATCGTGCAGTGGTTAACGCGACTGAGTTAAAGGAAATGTTCCACACTTGAAGATATTGAAGCAAGCATCGGACACGATGGCATAGGCTCAGTTATAGAAATTGGTACAAGGCCTTCATGTTTATGTGAAAATACTGCTCCAAGCAACCCAGTTTTCCTGTTTAGTAAATATGCTTCTCAATGTGTCATGTGGGAATGATTAGATTAGACATCAATGAAATGATTAGATTTGAATGACGTTATGACGGCATCGTGGATGTCTGGGCAACCTTGAAATAGTCTCCCCGAAATAGTCTGGACATCTTCGTGGGCGTATGGCTCAGAAACTAGACGGGTTTAGTTCTTGAGACGGACAGGGCTGTTAACTGCACCGAATGTTCTTCAAGGCGGCTATTTTAGTTCAATACGAATGTGTGTTTAGCTCATTACAAACACCATACAAATGTGGAACAATCGGTTTAACCACTTCGCATCTGTGGAACCAGAGGTGCGGAGCTCGATTCCTCGCGGTGCCTGTCCCTTCTGTCAGGGTAAGAGGCAGGCGACACTATGTAGCCTCAGCAGCTGGGTGTGTCGTAAAGCCCCAATGACAACTTTATATATATATATATATATATATATATATATATATATATATCGTATCTTACCCACGATGCGTTTCACAGACCAACAGCTGCATCGTCAGGCAAAAGAACGTTCACGTTTAGTGTAAACCGTTATGGTTTAAAACGCACACGAACAAAATACGATAACAGCACATACTCACATGTAATGACGCACGACGAGCCCATTATTTTACAGACATGCGTCATTTTATCACAGTTTCTAACGCATAGATGAAGCCACGTTATTTGGGCGCTGGACGTATCTAAAAAAAGGTACAAGGCCTCTAGGACTATGAAATTAAGCGAGGAATATGTCGTGCCCGAGATACTTAACTGGGGTGTAACATGTAAATAAATGTTCTCGTGAGGGGAAGGGGAAGGCTCTGCACCATTTTGCAGGATAGGTCTTATGCTGTTTTATTCCTTGATTTTTTGAGCGGTAAGCATCCAAATGCTACATGTACGGTGGAAGAGTAGTGGGACGGCAAAATTCCCCTTCTGATCGCCCTCATCCACAAAGAAGGTGATAGCAGTTCGGGGTACCGAAAACCTACTTTTACTGGGCTGTGCACGAGCTTTTTCATCTTAATCCCGGAATCATTTAAGTTTATATCAATATGGACGGTCATATTCAGGACATACAATTTCAGCTCTACCATCAGTTTTACCATGCTGAAATCGAATACTTAAAGACACGTTTCGGGAACAACGGGGGTCAAAAATTATTTTACTCTGCCGTACTTTGGCTCGGACTTTCAAAACCTTAAACGTGAGTTGATCAGCCTTCTACCAAAATGCTACCCATTTTTAAATCCTAGGATAGTCCTCATGAATTCCTTTTCGGTAGGTTCCTTCTTCAACCATATGGATAGATACTGATACTTCAACCATATGGATAGATAGATAACCTAAATACTGCCAATCGACTGTTGTTTACGAGTTTTGTTGTGCCTAGTGTGGGGCATCCTACATGCGTTCCACCGTTCGGAAATTGAACAGTCGCATTCAACAGCTGTTAGGTAAACTATTCGGACAGGAAAATGCTTTGCAAAACGTGACCCCTCCCCCTACGATAAATTGTGATACATGTGAAACCCCACTTTTGGCCCCCAGTTTTAGTATATTATGCAAGACATATTAGAGAAAGAGAGAGAGAGAGAGAGAGAGAGAGAGAGAGAGAGAGAGAGAGAGAGAGAGAGAGAGAGAGAGAGAGAGAGAGAGAGAGAGAGAGAGAGAGAGAGAGAGAGAGAGAGAGAGATTAGTCATTTCTGTCTATATGTCTGTCGCTTCATTTGACAGTCTTAGAGTCCTTGCACATTTTTAAGATACGTTGAGCACTTAATAAAACGGCTTCACCATGTCCATTAGAAACGCGATGCATGTTACATGTCTGCACAACTGGAGATTGGCTGTGTGTTATCGCATGCGCTTGTGAGGTATTTTCATTTTGTCTGTGAATGCTTTAAACCATAATGGTTTACACTGAACTTTCACCCCTTTCATCACAGGAGAGGTGCAGTTACCCAGGAGGCACTGGGACCAGCCAGAGTCTTGGTAACAGGAGTTGCACCCGGGGCTGACGAAGGGCTCCTGCCATCGGAAGGACCCAAAAAATTGTCACTGGGCTGCTCCATTTGGTTTCAAGAGGGCCCATTTTTTCCTTTCTCCCCTGTTCAGGATCGACGTATTTAGGTACACATGGAATGGCCGTGCCATAAAAAATCACCCCACTTCGATCTGCTTTGTTATGCACCAAGGTGCTGTGCACCTTTACCTTTCCAGGAGTATGGGCCGCGCGTGTGGGATATTATGGACACGTCACCTTTCCCGGTCAGAGGCTGAAGGGTCCTTCCGTCCCAGTTCGGGGGTACCTACTGGCTGTCAGTCTGGCGTCACTGGGAGCGAGTCTCCTGATCGATCCGGAAGCCCTCAGAGGAATGCATCAGGCATGGATACCTTCCCTGACGCAGAAGGCGCTCTGACCGGGACATACCTTCCCTGACACAGAAGGCGCTCTGACCGGGACATACCTTCCCTGACACAGAAGGCGCTCTGACCGGGACATACCTTCCCTGACACAGAAGGCGCTCTGACCGGGACATACCTTCCCTGACGCAGAAGAGGCTCTGACCGGGACAGTTGGCCCAGATCGACGCAGACTCCTCTCCAGCACAACAGGACCTCCTACCGGCCGGTTTACAGGTCCAATTATTGGGACAGCGAGCCCCGTTCGGCTGGTCAGGATCTGGGCTGAACGGGACGGAGGGCCCCCAGTTTGGTACCGGGGCACCTGCCTGACACGAGGCTCTTCCAGCGTCTCCTTACTGGCCCTTTCATTGTCATTTCTTATACATCCTCTCATTGTCAAAGGGCAACGATCACCGCCCTCCGACATTCGGGTCCCGTCCCTGTATCTGTGTAGCAGATGTGATCCTGGCCGACCCGGGGTTCCTTGCACACACAGGATCTCCTGTTAGGTACTATGGGCTTCTCCCCCGACACAGGAGGCCCCTCATTATTTAAGGGGCACCAACCAATGCAACCGGCTTTCAGCAACATTCGCCCTCCTCGGCTCAGTGTCGCTGCTTGAGAAATGAGTTATCATGCCGTGGTGCTGCACACATACTGCGGCTGACCATAGGTGATGCTGAAAGGCCGCTGTTCACAGACAGGGTACGAGTGATGCGATGACGATGGTGAGGATTGGCTTACGGTTTGTGGTAGCGGCTCGAAAAAGGAGGTGGACAAGGTTCAGAAAGGTTTCAACTTCTGCGCTCGGGTTATCTTTGGGCGTCGTAGGTTCGACCACAGGCCTGACCTGCGAGAGAGGCTGGGCTGGTGGACCGCACAACACATCTGCGCGCTGGGCCCAGCGCACAAGGTCATGATCCGCGGTGAGCCAGACTCACTCGCATCCATCTTCCGAGCAAAAAGCTCTGGTTCAAGCGCCGAGCATGGGGTAGGGCCATCTGCTGTATGTGGCCCGCTCGAGGATCGAGGCTGAGATGCGGCACTGTTCCGCTGAAGCGCCGAACTTGTGCAACGAGCTC